CTTCCCGATGACCCCGCAATTCTACCCCTGGGTATCTGTTGGGGTGTGAAGTCTGTATTCAGGGGAGAAAGAATTTTCAGACAATGATTAGGATATACAGAAGTAAGAGTTTATTTTCCCAAGGAAAAAAAGGAGAGAGAGAGAGAGAGAGAGAGCTGGCACGACACACAGAGGGAGGAAGGAAATGTTGGGCAGTGAGGAAAGTTGCTTGGTGCTTTTAAAGGGTAGAAATTTTTTTTTCTCTCTGCTTCAGGGGACTGATAACAAAAGACGCTGTGAAGCTGCTGTGTTGGCTTTTTCTGTTTCTCACGTAGCAGATTGATAGTAGAAATTAGTTTCTTCTTGATAGCAGAAGGCATCTGGTACTGTCTCTTCTTGAGGAAGCAGGGGGCGTTCACACTCCTACTGTCCGCTCAGGAACTTTTTCAAGGCTGTTTAAACAATACTCAAAAAAACTTTTTACAGGCAGTGAATTTTTGGTGACGGTCTATTAGATAGTCTACCCTTTCCTCCCTTTCCCAGAAACTTTCTTTGCTTTTGGAATGTGAATTGAGCAGCTCTGGTGAATGTTAATGAGGGTTTATACCTTCTTTTGTCTGCTCAGCTTCTTTTAATTGCTAGGTAAACATCTCTGTAGGAGAGATATTTATGTTACTAACCTCAGAGGAAGGGTATATGCTATTCTAAGTGGCTACCAGTTGGAAATTTATTTTCTTGTTAGCCCATTAGCAAGACCATTCTTTCAGTATCCACCAGTGAGAAATGAAAACATATGTCCAGGCCAAGCCTGGTGGCTCACACCTGTAATCCTAGCACTCTGGGAGGCTGAGGCAGGCGGATCGCTTGAGCCCAGGAGTTTGAGAGGGTGCAGTGAGCTACAATGATGCCACTGCACTCTACCCAAGGTGACAGAGCAAGACTCTGTTTCAAAAAAAAAAAAAAGAAAGAAAGAAAAATTAGTTGGACACAGTGGCACACATCTGTAGTCCCAGCTACTCGGGGGGCTGAGGCAGGAGGATCCCTTGAGTCCTGGAGTTTGAGGTTGCAGCGAGCTATGATGATGCCACTGCACTCTAGCCAGGGTGACAGAGCAAGATTCTGTCTCAAAAAAAAAGAAATAAAAAACATATGTCCAAACAAAAACCTGTGTATGAATGTTCATAGAAGCATTACTCAGAACAGCCAAAAAATGAAAAAAACCTACATGTCCATCAACAGGTGAATCCATACAATGGAATACTATTAATATTTGGCAATAAAAAGGAATGAATTACTGATATGAACTCAAAAACACTGTGCTAAGTGAAAGGAGCCAAACACAAAAGACATCATACTGTATTATTCCATGTTTATGAAAATCTAGAAAAGGTAAAACCAAGGTGACAGAAAGATTAGTGGTTGCCTAGGGCTAGCGGGAGGAGGAAACTTCTGCACATCAGTGTATGTCTATTATACCAAAACTCATTGAACTGTATGCTTAAAATGAGTGAATGTTTAGGCATGTTAATTAAACTACAATAAGTAAAAAAGAAAAAGCTTACAGTCCAAACATGGTACACTGGACATTAGTAAAAATAAACCTTTCTGGGTATAAAGGCAAATATTATAATGCTAATTGGTTTTGCCAAATGGGCAAAACATTTGGCTCTTCTTTGAGTGCAAGTGGTTTTTTAATTTGATGGATCTCTTGATTAAAATTCCCTTAAGTTCAGATAAATATGTCTGTATAGGTCTAATTGTTTTAAAGTGGAGCCCAACTTTTGCTCTCTTTGCTTTGGAAATTGTGATTCATGAAGTCAATCTAAGTACATGTGAAATTTCTCCGAAAAAAAAGTTCACGTGTGACAAGTGCCACAAAAAAGATGTGCAGCACATAGGTGTTATAAAGACCTGGTCAGGGAGGCTGGGAGCATCTCTGAGGACATGGTTCTTGAGCTCAGACTAGTGCAGGAGCAGTAATTACACCAAGGAGGAAGGAAGAACATTCCAGGTGGAGAAGAGTGTGTCTAAAGGCCCCGTTGACAGAAGGAAGCATGATGAACACAGGATCTGAAAGGAGGTCACTTGGAGAGTGGTCAGAGAGGAAGGGAGACGACTGCTAGGCAGGGCTAAGCCATCGTAAAGATTTCCTTCATTTGGAAAGCAGATTTGCGTTTGAGAAGGTCACTCTGGCTGCAGCAGGGAAGATGGATTGGAGGGACCAGAGAAGATGTAGAGGGATCTGTGAGAAGGCTGTGGCACTAGCTGAGGCTGCAGGCAGTGGCGGCCTGGCCTGGGGCGGGATGGAGTGTTCCATGAAAGGGCCATATATGCAAAGTGACCCCCAAATGTTGAAAGGAGCTGAGAAACCAAAGAAGGAGGCGGAAAATCCAATGTGTCAGTACAGGGTGATTTATTAGCGGGAACTTACGGACAAGCGTGGTCTTGGGTGGTCACAAGACAGGTAGATCTCTGCACCACAACCCCCCAGATTCAGGGCTTATATCTTGGGGGGAAAGTATTTGTGCTCTGGAAGGAATGTGTAGGTGGCCATGGGCGTCACACCCTATGATAGCATCAAGGGTTGTTTTGGAGGAAAACCAAAACTTAGAGTGAATAGGGTTTTCCTACATAAAAAGTAATACATCGACTAGACATTTGGAGGCATTCCCAGACTTGGGGTTAGTCAGGTGGATTAACATTTAAAAATAAAGTCACTTTTGTCCCCACAGAGAGGGACGTAGAGAGCTGATCTGGGAGCGAGCTGGGCAGCTGACTGGGTGAAGTCGTGGATGTCGGGGATGAGAGAGGTGTTCAGAGTGAAGCTTTTCCGGCTCATGCAATGAGATGGATGGTTGTGGGATACTTTGAGAAGCATTATTCAGAATAGCCAAAAAATGAAAAAAACCTGCATGTCCATCAACAGGGAACTTACTCATTCAACAAACCTTTGTTAGGTAACTACTGTGTCAGACACTGAGCAAGGGATCTTTGAGAAGAACAAGAGTGTTTGTTTCCAAGGAGCTTGTGTCTAGCAGCGGGGCAAGACCTGGACAAGCGGGTGAGTGTGCTGCACTAGCCTCGTTCCATGTGACATGGGACACAGAAGAGGATGTGGCCAGTCCTCTGGCAGGGAGGAACTGACCTGAGTTGGAGGGCATGGCAGGGGTCATGGGAGATCATAAAGGTATATAGAAAAAAGGGAAAATGGCATCGTGCTACTCCAGGTGAGCTCAGCTTCGTAACAGCACCTGGGAGATTGTTAGAAATGTGGCATCTCAGGCCCCACCCCAGAGCTGCTGATGCGGCATGCACTTGAGCAAGATCCCCAGACGACTTGTGTGCACATGAAAAGTGTGGGTGGGAACTGCTGAAGATTCTTCCTCGGGAATCTTGAGCTCTTTGTCAGGCCCACCTGTGTCTACACTTGGCTCTGCAGTGCGTGGCCGTGTGGTCTGGGGCAGGTTAATTCATCTGAGCTTCTGTTCCTCTTCTGTAAAATGGGAACAATAACACCACCTACCTCGTAGGATTGCTCTGAGGATGAATGAGATTGTGAAAAGTGCTAAGCTTGGTATACGGCACCAAGGAAAGGCTCATTAAAGTTTCAGAGGTCTCTGGGAGAGTTTTAGAAAGATCACCCAATGAAAGTCTTTTAGATATGTGAAAGAATGAACTCCCTCTGGGTTAGAACTGGGTGGTTACAAGTGACAGAAACCCTAAAGTAACAGTGATTTAAACACGACAGAAGTCCCTCTTTCATGTAAAAGCCCAGAGGGCAGCACTGCGTGGCTGGTGAGGTGCTACATAGAGGCTGAGGCCCAGGCTCCATCTCTCATCGTCCTGCCCTGCGTGGCTTCCATTTCGGAGGTCACCTCACATCAGTAGGCCTCCTCCCCTTCCAGTCAGCAAGCAGGAGGCAAGCGAAAGAGAGGGACACATGCTGCCTGCTAGGGACACTTCTAGGAAGTGCTAACCTTCCACTTACACCTCAGGAGCCTGAATTGGCACTTGCCACAGCTAGCTCCGAAAGAGGGTAGGAGATACTGTCCTTATTCTGAGTGTCTCTGTGCTTCACTAAAAACCATGGGTTCTAGGGCCAGGTGCATTGGCTCACACCTGTAATTCCAGCGCTTTGGTAGGCTGAAGCGGGAGGCTCACTTGAGGCCAGTTCAAGACCAGCCTGGGCAACAGAATGAGACCCCATCTCTACAAAAAAATGTAAAAATTAGCCAGGCATGGTGGCACATGGCAGTAGCCCCAGCTACTCGGGAGGCTGAGGCAGGAGGATTGCCTAAGCCCAGGTGTTTGAGGTTACAGTGAGCTATGATCGCACCACTGCACTTCTAGCCTGGGTGACAGAGCGAGACTTTGTCTCAGAAAAAAAAACCCACCAAAAAGTACAGGTTTTATTACCTTAGGAGAAAGAATAGATATGAAGGAATAACTCATGGTCTCTGCCACAAGGATATTAGAGAGGTGTCATATGAACACCACAAACACAGAAATCCTCAAGTATACACAAGTTGAATGTATTTGCATTTATTCTGTTGAGATTGAATACATAATTTTAATGTGTTCAAATTTATTAATGGACATAAAAGAACTGAAACAATGGACAGCTATACCATATCATGGATTATTTAAATGTTATAAAATTCAAAGGAATGCCACATTCCAATAAAAAACATTTTTTAAGAAGTTGATATACTATTGCTAAAATTATGCCACATATCCGTGGAAGATCAATGGCTTTTTTAGTAGACAGTACTGAGAAAACTGGCTCTTTATATGGTAAAGAGTATAAAAAAGGTCTCATAAAGGTGCATTTCAAATAGTTTAAAAGTGATGTTCAATGTTTAGCAACTAGTATAGCCTGGCATCAACCAAACAGAACAAGTGTTTGACCACTCAGAGCAGACGCAGCTAATGCACCACCCCAGGGGGCACTAGCTGGACTTCAGCTCTATTTAGTGGCCTCCATATGGAAGGAAAAACTAATGAGCTAACAGAAGAAAATGCAAAGTCAAAGTACCTTAACAACTTTTAAATAAGAAATCAAACAGCAACAAATTTTATGACAAAATAGTTAAATCATCTATGTTAAAGTTAAGAATTTGTTTGGTGAAGGACAGCCCCAGATACACAAACAAATTTCCATTCCAAGAGTTATTTGCAATTCCCCAGGAATATACGAGCAACGCCTGAAAATAAACCAGAAATGACAGGAAGCCCCCAGGAGAAAATAAGCAGGTCACAGAAAGAGAAACCAGGAAGGCTGACAGGTGAAAAAACCCCACAAATTAATGGTGATCAGATGAATGTACATTACAGCACACAGCACAGTGCCCCTTTATACCCATCAGACTGGCAAAAGTTAGAAAGTTGGGCAATGCCAAGTGCCAGTGAGAAAATTAGGAGAAAGAGGAAGCCCTAAGTGGGTCAATCACTATTCTAAAGAAAAATTTGGAAAACCATAAAGAAATTAACCTACATGGCCTGTAATCCCATCCTGGGAATGTATGCCAGAGAATTTTTCACACAATCACGGATAAAAGAATGTTTATCGTGGCCTTGTATATGGTGCCAAGGAGTTGGAGGCACCCAGGTGTCCACCACGTAAGGCAACGTGTGTAAATGCAGTCGACGCCACAGTGGAGTACCACGAGGCAGATTAAAGCAATGACCCATGTCTAGAATAGGCAACAGGGCTAGATCTTAATACATACTGAGGGAAAACAATACAAGTTCTATTGCACAACACCACTATGTGCATTAAAAGCACATATTCACACATACAATATTGTATTTTACATTCATAATCGAAGATAAGTAATTAACGTATTAGGTTGAGTGCTTAAAGACAGAATGTTGTGAAGAAAGGGAAAGCCATAAAACCAGAGAATCCTTGCATGGGACCATATTCCCAAGATCCAAAACAAAACGACTGAACGTGCTCAGCTATGCCTTAAATGCGTGTACCAGGAAGAGTACACTAAAAGGATGGCTCTAAAGGGTGCTTGGGGCAAGGAGGACACCCAGGGCTAAGAATCCAGTACCTTTGTTGTTCAAAAGAGCATCTCAGTAGCTGCTTATGCTTAAGCCAATGGGTGTGTGATCATTTATTTTCCTGCAAGCCAAGGAACCACTCAGTTTATGTGCCTCAAACAAACATCACTCCTAACTCCCAAATGAGACTAACAGGCCACCCGGGGCAGCAACAACAACCACACAACTAACCAAATAGTTAACGGCTTGAAACCAGGGTCAGCAGGAGAGGGGGCCAAAGGTCACTCATTGATTTTGCTTCAGCTGAAAGCTACGTTTGACCCGAGCTTCTGCCAGCCCCATGAGATGTTCTCCCCAAGTCCAGGCTGGGCCTCCAAATGGGGTGTGGGGTTTCAGCCCCAGACCTCAATGAGGTCCCCAGATTCCATGCCCAGATCAGCCGGCAGCTCCCTGCCTGAAAGCTTTGTTCCATCGAAGAAGAAGGAGAGCTTGTGTCCTGACAGTCCCATGGCCTTCTCATACTGGGACATGAGGGTCTTGAGAGGCGAGTCCTAGGAGAGAAAAGTGGATGTGAGAATAGGAATGCAGGGGCTGGGAAGATCCTGCAGGCACAGAGAACTCGGGTCAGGGAGGACAAGCGGCAGAATCAGTGCAGTCAGAGCCCCATGGAGGAAAAGATGAGTGAACTAAGAAGGCAGCACAGCCCTTTCTGGGAACCAGGAGGAACCGCTTCATCCCTCTGGGCTGCCTGGTCCTCAGATAGAGTGGGGTCCTCAAGCCCAAGGTTCAGGGGTGCAGGATCTGAGTTAGGCAAGTTCTTCAAGGCTCAATCTCCTCAACTATAAAATGGAAGCACATATCACAGTGATTAAGACAGTCCAGATTCTAGAGTGAGACAGCCGAGCTGGAGGCCAGGCCCTCCTGCTTACTAGATGTGTGACCTCAGACAAGTGATACTGGTTGAATTGTGCCCCACCCCCCAAATGATACCTTGTGAAACACAAAAGAAAAAGATACCTTGTGGTCTTAATCTCTGGTAAACGTGAACATGACCTTATTTGGAAATAGGGCCTTTGCAGATGTAACTGCGTTAGGATGAGGTCATACTTGATTAGGACGGGGGCTGATGCAATGGCTGGTGTACTTGTACAACAGACACAGACAGGGACACACAGGGAGAGCCATGTGATGACAGACGCAGACTGGAGTGATGCAGCTGCAAGCCAAGGAGTGCCAACGGCTGCTGGCCACCACCAGAAGCTAGAAACGGACAAGGAAGGGTTCTACCCAGAGTCTCAGAGGGACCATGTGATATTATGAAACGTATATCTGGTCTCCATACATTTCATGGTATGAAATTCCTAAACTTTTGGAATCTTCAAAGTGTTAAGTGTCTTTCTGGATGCTAATGGGTTGACTGGTGGCTGGCAGCCCCTAGGTCGCTTCAGGATGGGGGCTGGCCAATGGAAAGACCAAGGCAGGATTTGAGGGGTGGGACTTTCAGCAGACAGGGAAGAGGGCTTCTAAAGGCTCAGCTGACCACTAATGGCCAATGATTTAATCAATCACACCTACATAATGGAGCTTTCATAAAAAACCAAAAGGATTAGGTTTAGACAGCTTCCCCGTAGCTGAATACGTGGATGTGCCTGGAGGGTGGTGTCCCTGGAGAGGATGTGGAAGCTCTGCCCCTTACCCCACACCTCACCCTACACATCTCTTATCTGTATCCTTTGTAAGAGCCTTTATAACAAACCAGTAACTGTTTCCCTGAGTTCTGCTGGAAGCTCTAGCAAATTAGTCAAACCCAAGGACAGGGCTGTAGGAACCCTGATTTAAAGCCAATCAGTCAGATGTACTGGTCAAATCACCTGGGGCTTGCGATTGGCATGGGAAGTGGTGGCAGCGTGGTCTTGTGGAACTAAGTCCTCGCCCTGTGTGGCCTCTTGCTATCTCCAGGTAGACAGTGTCAGAATTGAATTAAAAGGACATCTGGTATCTCCTGCAGAACTGATGGCTTGCTTGGTGTATGGGGGAAAATCCCCATACATCTGGTGTCAGAAGCATGTTTTGAGAGTATAGAAAAAACTGAGTTTTCTTCTCCTGTGTCGTAAGAAACCATGACCTTGCTGACACTTAATTTTAGACTTCTACAGACAATGAGACAATAAACTTCTGTGGTTTTAACCCACCCAGTTTGTGGTACTTTGTTCCAGCAGACAAAACACAGAAGTATGGTGCTTCTGTAATAACTAGCTAAATTGGTAGTGGCTTTAGAATCAGATAGAGGGTGGAAGAATTTTGAGGTGCACGTTAGAAAAAGCCTAGAGTACCCTGAAGAGACTGTTGGTAGAAATATGGACATTAAAGGCAATTTGGATGAGAGCTCACAAAGAGAAGGGCTGCAGAGAAAGGTTCTATGGTCTTCAGAGAATATATATATATATCGTCATGAACAAGTTTCTAGAAATATGAACGTTAAAGGTGTTTCCAGTGAGGTCTCTGGTGGAAATAAGGCATATATTATTGGAAGCTGGAGTAAAATGAAGTAAACTGATCCTTGTTATAAAGTGGCAGAGAACTTGGCTGAATTATGTTCTACTGTTCAGTGGCAGAAAGTAGAACTTGTAAGTGATGAATCCGGATGTCTACCTGAGATTTCCAAGCAAAGTGTGGAAGGTGCGGCTTGATTTCTCCTCATTGCTTATTTGCAAAATGCAAGAGGAAGGATGTTAAGCAAAAAGGAAGCAGTGCGTGGTGATTTGGAACATTCTCAGCCTAGCCAGAGAGTATGCTCTGGAAAGAGGGCCAAGAGTGTAGCTTTTTGCTAAAGAGATCAGATGGCCGACTTAAGGGATCCAATCAACCATGTCAGCAAAAGTCAGAAATTCATCTTTGTCTAAGGTGTGGATCCCTTTGATATGCACAGGAGACCAGTAAGGTTTTTGAGAATTGTATCCCAGCATAAACACTGTCCGCCTGGAATTAAAGAGACAGGGACAGGACAAAATGAAGGAAAAAAGGGCAGAGCCACAGGCCCAGAGATTGGGCTAATAAGACTTCTTTGGGTCAAGAGGGTGGGGCCACCATCCCACTGGGCCGAGAGGACAGAACAAAGCCAAAGAGGATTATTTTCAACCCTTGAAATCTAATAGGATTCGCCCTGCTGGGTTTTGGACTAGCCTGGAACCTGTGACTCTTTTTTCTTTCCTATTTGTCCCTTTTGAAATGGGAATGTCTATCCTATGCCTGTCCCATCATTGTATTTTAAAAGCAGATAACTTGTTTTCTAGATTTCACGGGTCCACAGATGAAGAGGAATTTTGTCCCAGGACAGACCACACTGAGTCTCATCCATAACTGATTTAAATGATTTAGAATAGGGGTCCCCAACCTTTTTGGCACCAGGGACCAGTTTCATGGAAGACAACTTTTCCATGGACTATGGAGGGAGGCAGGGGTGTTTCCTTACAGGTTGTGGACTGGTACTGGTCCGCAGCCCAGGGGTTAGGGACCGCAGATTTAGAAGATAAGATTGAGAGTTTTTGAGTTAATAATATTTAGGTGAGATTTTGGACTTAGAGTTGATGCTGGAATGGGTTAAGACTTTTGGGGATTTTTGGAATGGGGTGAATATATTTTGCATGTGGGAAGGTTATGTATTTTGGGAGGCTAGAGGGCAGACTATTAGGGGTTGAGCCACTTCTCCCAAAAAAGACACCCTGTGGTCCTAACCCCTGGTAAATGTGAATGTGACCTTATTTGGAAGTAGGGCCTTGCAGATGTAATCAAGTTAAGATGAGGCCGTACTTGATCAGGGTGGGCACTAATCCAATTATGACTTATGTCCTCATTAGAAGAGAAACAGTGACATGTGCCTATAGTCCCAGCTACTCAGGAGGCTGAGGCGGGATGATCACTTGAGGCCAGGAGTTCAAGGCTACAGTGAGCTATGATCGTGCCACCGTACTCCAGCCTGAGCAACAGAGCAAGACCCCATCTCTTTAAGAAAAAAGGAGCGAAACAGAGATGCAGGGAGAACACCATGTGATGACAGAGGCAGAGAGTGAAGTAATACGGCTACAAGCCAAGAAGCTCTGGCCACCACCAGAAGCTACAAAGAGGCAAGAAGGCTTCTCCCCAGGGTCTCAGAGGGAGCAAGGCCCTGCTGACACCTTGCTTTGAGATTTCTAGGCTCCAGAACTGTAAGAGAATAGATTTCTGTTGTTTTAAACCACTCAGATTGTGGCATTTTGTTACAGCTGCTGTAACATACGCAGCAAGTTACTCCACCTCTCTAGACCTCAATTTCCTTAGTGTTCATTCACTAAATGAGGGTAACGACAGTGCTTTCCCATATAGATTGCTGTGAAGTTAAGTAATATCCTGAATGTGAAGTAGTTTTCCCCAGCACAGGGACTGGCACTTAGATGTGTGGCCATCATTGATATTTTGATGGCTTGATTACTGTCCAAAGGTCCTTTCTGTTTTAACCATTAGGAGTCAGGAGACCGAGGGGCCACAGACCAGAGCAGAGGTTCCCAGCAGTTGGGAGGGAAGTGGAACAATGGGCTTTTCCACTAGCTAGGATGGATGGGAACCCAAGAGTACAGAGGACAGTGTCTCCAGTGAGTCAGGATTAGGAAGAATCCATCCTCCATTAACTGACAAGATAGACGAGACAACAGAGGAAAGGGTGAGGGGTGTGGAGAGCCATTTCTCCCACTCACTCGAGACAGCGAGACCTCCAGCATCTGGTGTTTCTCCTTCCCCTGAACCCGGAGCTGGAGCTGTTGGGATGTCTCTGTGGCCTCTGGAGAACTTGCTAGCACCACACAGTCTGTGGGAGGCAGGGCCGAGAAGCCAGGCCTAAGTGGGGGGTTGGAAGCTGGGCCCCCTCTGGACCTTGCCCCAGAGCCTCTTCCCCTGGCAAAAGCCTCCTCAAGGCCCTGCTTCCCTGCTTCCCTCTCACCAATGATGTCAGCCACGCCAAGCTTTAGGGTCCTGGGGGTGGCCGTAGGGGATAGCTCTGTCTCTCCAAAGAGCAAGAGGATCCTGCTTGGGGACACCCCGAGATGGGCGGCCATGTGGTCCACCACACTCTGCAGGGGCTCCGACTGGGGATGGGGACATGAAGCAAAGAAGGCCTTTCTGCCTTGACATTCCCCACCCCCCCACTCCCATACCACCACCCCAAACACAAGTTTCTGGCCTTAGGTACTTGCTAAGCTCCTCAGCTGTGAGTGTCATCATATTTACCTGGCAAGACAGAATAAAATTGTGTCAGTAAGGGGCTCAGGAGAATAACACAAAAAAATAGAACAGCCACTGGTTAGGAGAAACAAAGGAGTGGTGGGAACTGCAGCAAACTGGAACCCACATGTCCCATCTAAACAGGGGAGCTATTCGGCAGCTCCAGCTGATTGGTACAAGTGGGAGCCAGTGAGACTGTATCTTCCTGTTTTTAAGCGAAGCCAGAAATCTAGACCTTTGTATGAAGTCCCCCAATGCAAAAGCTGGCAGCAAACTTATTTCGAAAGCACTCTACAGGGCAAAGGAAGCAGATACGCTGTTGACAAGGCCACGGGCTGCCTGTCTGCAACCTCGGGCTTAGTTGCAGCAAGGTTAGTGCTCAATAAATGGTCATTTCTGTTATTCTTGGTGTTGAACCAGGGCCATCCCTACAAAACTATCGGCCTTTGCCACAAAGCTGGGGGAGCTCAGAATGGCTGAGTGACATCTGCTGTGTCCAATGCAGTGAGAGTAAGGTAGCACAAGGGAAGGGTCCTAGGGAGGAATGGAGGGGACTCCTCCTAGGGAGGGATGACCAAAAACAGCTTCTTAGAAGACAGGATGCTTAAGCAGAGCCTTGAAGAATGGACAGGAAGTTTGCCAGAAAGAGAGGGGAGAGTGAGGAAAAATGCAGGCAGGGGGAACAGCAGGCACAGAGACAATGGGGGACTTAAGAGTGGTGGGCAGCTCAGAGAGCAGGGTGGGAAAAGGAGGACACGGTCCCTTCCGCCAGTACACCCCTGCTGGACACTAGTCCCTCCAAAGGCAGCTCTGGGGTCCTTCTCGCATGGGCCTCAGGCACTCACCATTCTAACGGGCAATCTGACCAGGTCAGCGCGGCACCGGATTTTGAGCGGGAAGAGTCGGGGAGTTTCTGGGAGGGGGGGCCCCTCCACTAGGACCACCTCATCCTCTAGGCTCTGGTGGTCTTGGCCCTGCTGCTGCTTGGGGCTCAGGGAGGAACGGAGATCCTGGAGGCGCTTGTTCACCTCCCTGGGGTGCAGACAGGATTTTGGGTCAGCTGGAGTCAGCCATCCACCCTCCCCAATGCCCCTCCCCACCCAGCCAGAGCCCCTGCCCGTGACACCTTAATTTCTGGAGTGCTCGAGTATGCTTCCTGCTTTTGGTCCTTGGCAGAGCTGGGGGCAGAGCTGGGGGCAACGGAGAGGTGTCTCGATCCCTGTGGAGAGAGGATAGGGGAAGGCTGGAGGCAAAGGAGAGGCCCCAGCCCCACACCTCTCTTCATAGGCTGTGGACCCCTAGGAACCAGAGGGCCACACAGAATCAAGAGGGGGCACCTTCGGGTAACATCCATCTTACTAAAAGACAGGGGTAGGTAAGGGACAGGGAAAGCCTGAGACATCATTTTTATTTTCACATGACCCAAATATCAGGGAGGAAAATGCCCCACTTTTAAGGTAAGTTACTTCCTACGTGAGTGTCCAATAACATTCAACAGACAGTGAGCACTTACTGTTTTTTTTAAATTTTTTTTTGAAACAAGATCTCACTCTGTCGCCCAGGTTAGAATGCAGTGGTGTCATCATAGCTCACTACAGCCTCAAACTCCTAGGCCCAAGTGATCCTCCTACCTCAGCTTCCCAAGTAGCTGGGACTACAGGCATGTGCCACCATGCCCAGCTAATTCTTCTATTTTTTGTAGAGACAGGGGTCTTGCTGTTACTCAGGCTGGTCTCAAATTCCTGGCCTCAAGCAATCCTCCTGCCTCGGACTCCCAGAGTGCTAGGATTATAGGCGTGAGCCACTGGGCCTGGCCAATGAACACTTATTATATTAATATGTCAAGTGTTATTTTTGATCTACTCAGCAATTCTTACACACTCAGCAATAGGTGCCACTATTACCCCCACTTTACAGAAGAGGAAAGAGAAGCCCAGAGAGGACAAGGAAGAGACAGCTGTCTCGGTTGGACCCACACCCTTAACCTGCAGTACTAGCATCTCAGACTCCACTCACGTAGGTGGTCCCAAAGGGTCCCCTGTCATCCCCAGTGTGGGCCACCTCTTCTCCCAAGAGCTTCATTCCCCACCTGAGCCTCAAAACTCCTTTCAACCCTTCTTACACTTTCTGAGGCCACCCAAGGGTCCTGCCTTCCTCAGCTTACCCCTCCAACTCCCTTCCTGCTCCCAGGGCCCAAATGCCCTGACCTCACTCACAGAAACATCTTTTTCTTCTCTTCTTCTTCATCCTTACTCCTCAGTTTCTTCTTCCAGGGAGAGCCTGGAAATGGATCCTCAGGGTGGGGGCTGCTAGAATCTTCCATGTCCACCTCTGGGGGCAGAGAAGGAGAAAATGGAAGAGGGTTAGCCAAGAGAGGGAAGGGGGAGGCCAAGGAGCAACAAGCTGGAGGCTTCAAGAAGGTCCCAGAAAGGAAGGGACTGTGGAGCCCCCAAAACACACAGAATAATAGTGGGAAAGGACTCAAGGGGCATGACTGTTATTTGCTTAATATCTTTCTTTAAGTCACTCATTTTAACTTAAATTTCTTATAAAAAGAAGCCAAGTATTATCTAGAACATATTTTCATTTGTTTGCCACTAATAAAAGATCATCATAAACCATAAACATAAATACTGTGAAAATAAACAATGATGATAAACCCCAGATCAGTGGTTCTCAACCAAGGGCAATTTTGCTCCAGGGGAACATGTGGCAATGTCGAGAGACAGTTTTGGTTGTCACAACGCAGAGTCGGAGGAGCTTTGGGTGTGCTACTGGCATCTAGTGGATAGAGGTCAGGATGCTGCTAAACTTTGTACGTGCACAGGACAGCAACCAATGCCAAAGAATTTTCTAGTCCAAAATGTCAGTAATGCTGAGTTTGAAAAATCCTGTCCTTGCTAAATATGGCAGCTGCCAGAGTCCTGAGAGTCTGCATTTCTAACAAGCTCCCAGGGGACAGCCAATACTGCTGGGCCTACATTTTGAGTAGCAAGGATAGAGATAATTTTCACATAGCTCTTCTACATTCCAGGTATTGTCCTAAACCATATACATAGCAAGAGATGGCTCTCTATACATTCCCTTTAATTAATTCTCACCAAGATCCTTCGACATATACCCACTATTAGCCCTACTTTCCTGAAGAGGAAATTGGAGTATTGAGAGATTAAGTAATTTGCCCGAGGTCTCACAGCTATTGAGAAGACACAGTGGGATTCAAACCCAGGCCAGAGGGCTCCTAAATCTGCTCTTAATCATTTGACCATACTCCTTCATGGTACGGAAGTCTTAGTCCAAGGTCTGCCTTTGCCCACTGGATCACTTCCTTATTAGACTTGATTCCTAGTCTCTGACCTCGAATGGTTTGCAAAAATGACATCAGTGGGGAAGGACAAAGACTGGGCAGCCCAGATAAGACTCAAAGAACACCCTGCTGGCTCCAGATGTTCCCAAAGAACTTGTTGCAGAGGTAACAAGATATCACAGATTCCCAGCACCTCCCCATTCCCTGCCTCCCAGGATTACAGAATCAGGATCTCTGGTGGTGGCACCAGAAATCTGTGTATTTTAACACATTCTTATGCCTGTAAGAGTAGGGAGGGGGGTGGTTTGACACAACTTCGTAAGTCGGCTCTCGTGCCTTCTGGTTAACAATTCAGCTCCTTTTCGGTCTGGAACTTTTTCCTGGTGAGGATGCAGGAGTCCCCTCTCCCATGCCTTTCCCCTGAGCCTCAGGAGACAACTAACTGCAGAGATATAAACTCCAGGAAGTCTCCTCAGAGAAGCCAACACGGGGCGCCTCTCCCTGGAAGCCCTCTCTTACCTTCCTCAGCCCCTGGCGGGTAGAGTTTCAGGAGGGATAGGTGATCTGGGATGAGGTGGAGGCTGCTTTTCACCTGCAAAGGCAAAATGTGGGAGGGTCTGTTCCAAGTCCTCCCTCTACAGAAGGGGAAAACTTGGGGATGATTCTTCCCTGACACCCAGCTCCTGAGTCTTCCCTAAGGACATGGACTCCATGGCCCTCTCCTGGGGCCCTGGGAGTCCAGCTTCCCCAGGATCCAAAATTGTAGTACCTTCCAGTACCCCCTTGCCCTAAGGCATTCTGAAAAGGCAGGTTTAGTTCTCCTTTATAACTATGTTGCCAGCTACTCCTCTACCCTAGACTCTTAGAGGGTCTCAGGCCCCTAGCTCACCCTACCATCTTGGTACCCCAGCCTCCTGGAGCCCCCTAGTCCTCTCTGAACCCCCACAGGCCCCAGCCCCCAATACCCCAGCTCCTGAGTCTTCCCTAAGGACATGGACTCCATGGCCCTCTCCTGGGGCCCTGGGAGTCCAGCTTCCCCAGGATCCAAAATTGTAGTACCTTCCAGTACCCCCTTGCCCTGAGGCATTCTGAAAAGGCAGGTTTAGTTCTCCTTTATAACTATGTTGCCAGCTACTCCTCTACCCTAGACTCTTAGAGGGTCTCAGGCCCCTAGCTCACCCTACCATCTTGGTACCCCAGCCTCCTGGAGCCCCCTAGTCCTCTCTGAACCCCCACAGGCCCCAGCCCCCAATACCCCAGCTCCCGGGCTTCCTTAGCAATGGGTCCCAACCTCAAAATCCAACACGCCCCAAATCCCAGTCTCAGGTCCTCTCTGAACCCTCAGAGACCACCGCCCCTCAAGCTGCCCTATGCCCCCAAGACTACAGCTCCTAGGAATTCCAAATCTGCAGCACAACCCAGACTCGCAACGCACCCCAAAATCCTTCACCTCCCCAGTCTGGAGAAACTCCAGGTGCCCTGCATCTCTCTGCCTCCAATAACCTAGCCCCTGGCTTCCGTGTAGCCCCACAAGACCAGCCCCAGAACCCCAGCCTCAACACTCCCTAAATCCAGCCCCTCCCCCGAACCCCTGGCCCCTCTCTGGTCGCCCAAGCCCTTCAGCCCTCCCCGGGGACCTGGCTGTACCTTCCCAGAATACACTGGAACCACCGGTGCCTCCCCTGGATCCAGCAGCAGCCGCCGCCGCCGCCTGACCAGTTCCCGCGGGGGTCCTGCGGGCGGTGCGTCCGCCTCTTCACTGTCACTGTCGTTGTCGTCCCGAGGAGCGGCCGGCACTGGGGGTTCCGGGGGCGGAACCTCAGCCGGGTCCGCGGCACCGCTCGCAGTTACGACCTCCAGGATATCCTCATCGCTGTCGCTGACCAAGTCCACAAGCACAGAATCCAGAGTACGCCGGGCTGGAGACCGCTGGGAGCGAGGACGCCGGCCCCGGGCCCCCCGAGCCCCCCGAGCCCCTCGGCCGACGCCGCGACCTCGGGACCGCGGGCCCCGCTTCCTCACCGGCTCCGCCATAACACAAGCTCCGCCGCCGCGCACGCCCTCCTCTGCTCCCCTTGGTCGACCCCCTCCAACGACTTCTGCCTTTCATTGGGTGAACAGCCAGCTAGTCAGCACCTCTTCCCGCCCACATACTCTGGATCCGCCCTTCCACCTTTTCATTGGTCAGCGTACCCGCTCATCACGCATCCACCACTGAAACCAAGGCGCCAAAGATTCCAATCACCTCGGCACAATCACCGTAGCTTCCGATGCGGGCCGGCTCACCCATTGGCTGGGCTTCCTCTCCTCTGACGAACCTCTCATGGACCCGCCCACTAAAGAGACCCGTCTTCCCCGTTGGCGGAGGAGCGGAGCATCCTGGGAATTGTAGTCCTCAATCCCTGAGGCACTGGGAAGCAGGAAAGCGGGATGGGAATTGTTTTACAAACCCCGGAATGAGGCCTGAGACTTCGCGGGTATCCCCAGTATAGTCCGCCCCGCCGCATAGTGGGTGAGTAATTCCACTCAAACGCCACACACACTCTTGCACATGTAAATCCTCCCTCGCCCCAGACATCTCCTACGAATATATTTCAAGTCAACACAATGGACAACCATAGAACACGTTCCCACAACGTACGCCTGAGCACACGCACTTCGAAAACTTTTTTTTTTTTTTTTTGAGACAGAGTCTCGCTCCGTGACCGTGACTGGAGTGCGGTGGCGCAATCATAGCTCACTGCAGCCTCGAACTCCTGGGCTCAAGCGATCCTCCACCCTCGGCCTCTAAAAGTGCTGGGATTACCATCGTGAACCACCATCGCCTGGCCAGAGATTTTGTTTTTTAATTATAGTTCTCCAACACACTCACCAGCACTTCACACAAATAGTATCATGCACCCCAGATGCATGCAGTGCACCCCATGCACCCCATGCACCCACTACCTACCTCCCACGTCTCCATAGTATTTGCAACTCCTGCGTGACATACATCCCAACACAACCCAACGCTCCTTCAACACTCCACACCTTCCATTGTGCCCCCGACTGCATAACCCCCTGCCACTCGCACATGCATCCCACGCCGCACTTCCCACGGGATGCCCCCACGGCGCACACCCCCGGCGCCACATGCCTCTCGCACACCACGGTGTCCGCGTAACTAGCAGCTCACACGTCCACCCCGAACAGCATCTCGACCGCCGCCCACTCCCATCCCGTACGCCGCCACCGCCACATGCTGTCCCTTGCATGTCCACCCCACCGGGTCAGCCTGCACCTCGGGTCCCCGTGCGGACTCAGCCCAGGTCAAGCCTGAAGGCGCAGAGCCCCCAGCAGGTGGGGCTGTCTCCTAGGGAACGAAGGCGCCGGGACTCCCACAGCAGGTACTCCGCGGACTTCCCAGCCCCAGAGCCCTGCAGCCCCTCTCAGCAGCCAGGCTGGAGGCGTGGAGAATGCACCATGCCAGCCCCGGGCCCCACCTGGGACGCCGCTGCAAAGTAGGGAAGCAGGGGGTGGTGGGCCTGAGGGCCCAAAACTTCCCTCAAGCCTCCTTTTCCCTAAACCTTGCTCAAGAGCTGAAAGCGGTCCAGGTCCTGCCAAAAAACCAAGTCATGGCACAGGAAGTTGAGAAACTCTGGAGTGTGGCTTCTTCCTGGGAAGGTCTTTCTCTGCCCAATGGCCTTGGTGCTTTCTGGCTCCTGGCACACAGTGGGCCCTTGATAAATGCCAAAGAATAATAATGGCTAATGTTTGAGTCCTTATAATTGCCACTGTCGTGTGCTTTCCATGT